TTGCCAAGAACATTAGAGTACATGTCTTTGAGTAAATATGGGTATGCATTGTTTTCTTCCCTCTTTTTGTTTTTGTTTGTTTTGGGACAGAGTCTTTAGGACAGGCTGGCCTTGAACTTTCAATTCTCCTTCCTCAGCCTGCTGAGTCCTTGGGATTACAGGTGTGTGCCACCATACCCTGACATACATTTTTATTGAGTACACATCTAGGAGAAGAACTGTTGGGTCACAGGGAATGGCATAATACTGACAATTTTCTAAAGTAGTTTTACCCATTACACTACCTTTGTAATACAGGAGTCCAATACTTGAGAAATTTGTTTTTGGTTATATATTCTTTTAAATATGTTTATATTATAAAATACAAAAAAGATAAAATACAATGAATTTTATGAATAAGAAATGACTTTTATTTATTTGTTTGTTTATTAATAGGGCTTCCATATATCCCAGTCCTTTTTAAATTTTAGGGAGATAGGGGCTGGAGGTTTAGCTCAGCGGCATAAGCGCCTGCCTTGGAAGCAGGCAGTCGTGAGTTCGATCCCCGGTACCGATAAAAAGGAAAAAGGCAAAAAAAAAATTAAAAAAAAAAAAATAAATTTTAGGGAGACAAAGTCTTCCTAAATTATTAAGATTTGAATTTGCAGACCTCTGCCTCAGCCTTCCTAGGGTGTTGGCATTCACAGGCCTATGCCACCAGGCCAGGCTTGGAATCAATCTTAAGGTTGTATCTTCAAAACTTCTCTGGGTACAGTGACACATGACTATAATCTCAGCACTCAGGAGACTGAGTCAGGAAATTTCCAACATACAGGAGGCTGCTTCGAGTTCAAGGCCAGCCTGAGTTACACAGTGAGTTCAAGGGCAACCTAGACTACATAGAAAGACCCTGTCTCAAAAAATAAAAAAAAAGAAAGAAGGAAAGGTTTTTGCTCTGGGATAGACAACTTTTTTTTTTTTAAGACAAGGTCTCACTATGCAGTTCAAGCTGGCCTTGGGCTCACTTTGTAGCCCAGGCTGGCCCAGGCTGGCCTCAAACTTGCAGTGATCCTCTTGCCTCAGCCTCCTGAGTGCTAGGATTACAAAAGTGTGCCACCTTGCCCAACTATGATAGACAATTTTTGTCACATATTTAAGATTTCAATCCCATTCCTATGACTAATGAAGAAAAGTTTGAAAAACAGATGTAATGTACAACTATTCTAGATGGGTCCTGAGGAACCAATGGATTTTTAAAAATGCTGTGGTTCTTAATTTGTCTCCCACTGCTGAGGAAAACTAAACTTTTCAACTCAGATGTTCCCTGACTACAAACTCTCCCCTTTCTTCTCTCCAGTTCCGGATGCACCTTGGTGTGATAACATCAAACAGCTTCAGGATATTCCCACCTAGATGTGCAGGCTGAGGTCACGTAGATGTGTAATATTGTAAACCTGTCACCTCTGAATAATTGCCTTTGTAATTTAACTTGCCTGCCTTTTTCTGTCATAAGCCCTATACAACAGCTCTTCTAACCCAGGCTTGGGGCTTAGACTTTGGAGTACTGAACTCTTCTGGGCCCACTGGCATAATACAGTTTGGTTCCCTCTACTTTTCTGAGGGCCAAGCGCCACTCGGTTTCTTCTCCTCTAGTGAGTTAAAGTTGCTGTAGTAACACCACAAAGAGTTCTTAATCCACTGTGCTTGAGAGTCATGTTCAACATCTAGGTTTCTACAGAAAATATATGGGGTTCTAAAGACATATCCATAGTAAATATGACATCACCTTTTCCCTTTGTTAAACCACGAACCTGTTTGTTTTTTTTGTTTTGTTTTTGTGGTACCAGGGATTGAACTCACGACCTCAAGCTTGCCAGAGAGGCATTTATACTACTGAGCCAAATCCCTGGCCTCCCACTAACCTGTTTTTCTTTTTATCGGTACCAGGGATCAAACTCACAACGGTGTGCTTGCAAGGCAGATGCTTATGCCGCTGAGCTAAATCCCCAGCCACTAACTTGTTTTTATAGCGTTTTAAAAGTCTGTCCATGATGGTATCCATTCATTTATGGATGAATAGGAAGATGGAATAGGAAGACCCAGTTTTCACAGTGCTATGAATCTGGGTCAATTTTCATTTTTAGTATGTTGCCTTAGATTTGACGATGTTGAAACTAAAAAAACAGTCAAATAAATTAGTTGCTGACTTAGATTTATGTGATGAATCTGTCTGCAGATCAGTGTTATTCTGCTGAATTTCACCTAACCATAGATGAGATGCTGGTAGCATTTCAAGGAAGTTCTGGTTTAGAATGTTTATACTTACAAGCCAACTCATTATGGGATAAAGATCTAAATTTTAGATGACGCTAAGACTTAATATGTACCTGATGCAGACATATACGCTGGTGCTGAAGTAATGACAGCTAATCTGACCCAATCCATCTTACTGAATCCTACAAGAGATGTTCTTAGGCTTGTGGAAGTATTGAAGATACTAAAAAAAAATATTACTGGTGATAATTGGTATAGCTCAGAGGAACTTTTGATGAACTTAAAAAGAAAAACTTGACTTATGTAGACACTGTGAAAAAAAAAATGAGAGGGCTATCCCACCTGAATTTTTACCAAATAGAAAATGGAAAAAAGAAAGAAAGAAAATGAAATGTTGGGTTGGGGATTTAGCTCAGTGGTATAAGCGCCTGGTAAGCACAAGGTTGTGAGTTCGATCCTCAGTACCAAAAAAGAAAACAAAAAACAACCACCCCTCCAAACTGTTTAGTCATCAGTATTTGGATATTATATCACTCATTAGTTTTGTATGTACTAAAAAAAAAATGTATTATAATATCAAGTATGCAGCACAGTGATTCTGTTGACAAGAAACCAAAATAATGACAAATTTTGGAGTTGACACTTACTTTAAATTTTGCGGGGGGTGGGGGGGAGGGAGTACTGGGGATCAAACTCACAACCTCACGCTTGCCAGGCAGGTGCCTATGCCAATGAGCTAAATCCCCAGCCCCAGATATTTTAAATTTTAAATTTGGGGGGGTCTTTTCCTTGATTTTTTTTTTTTTTTTCTAGTACCGGGGATTGAACTCAGGACTGCCTGCTTGCAAGGCAGGTGCTTATGCTGCTGAGCTAAATCCCCAGCCCTAGGGCAGGGATCTTTTTGAGACAGTGTCTTGTATGCAGTTCAGGCTGGCCTTCAGCTCACTTTGTAGCCCAGGCTGGTCTCGATTTTGCAACAGTCTTCTTGTCTCAGTCTACCAGTGTTGGGATTACAGGTGTGCACTGACATTCCTGGCTACTGGAGTTGACACTTTAGATGGAAAAATATGCATTATATTTAACGCCCAGGAGAACTAACCCCTGACCAATGGCAATTTTTTATATCATTTTAAATGTTGTTTTAATTCTCACATATTGTACTGGTTTACATATTAAGTGAAATAATAAAATGCTTTGATTTTATTAAAACTCTTGGGATGTAGTTGAAGAAATATATGTTGCAGAATGGCTACTGATAAAGTGCCCATAAAAATATGAAAACTTATAGCAGAAATCATTGGGGGGAGGGGAATGCTGGTGCCAGGGATTTAGCTCAATGGCATAAGGGCCTGCCCAGCGAGTATGAGGTCCTGAGTTCCATCCCCGGTACCAAAAAAGAAAAGAAAAGAAAATGAAAATGATCATACAGAAAAAGAAATCCTGGTATAGAAGAACCCAGACAACCTACGGACAAAAGCAAAAGATGTATCATATACCCCAGCAGCAAGGTCAGAATGTGACACTCCAATGTGACACTTGTAAAATGCTAATGTAATTAGTGCTACAAGAAACTTTTTTCTAGTGTTTTGAAAATTAATTTTTTGGGCTCTAAGTTTTTACCGGAAAAAAAAAGAAAATTAATTTGTTACAAATATTTACATAATGTATTTACAAATAAAATTATCATAAATGTTTTTATTTTTCTAAAAAATAAATTTTGCCCGGGATTTAGCTCAGTGGCATAAGTGCTTGCCTGGCAAGCTTGAGGTTAAGTTCGATCCCCGGTACCAAAAAAATAAAAAATAAAAATAAATTTATGAGCCTTGCAGCCCATGAGTAGTATATATGAAACTAAAATGAGTTGATAATAGCTGTGTGTTAAAAGGCGATTTATATACGTGCTGCTGAAGCGCGCACAAGAGGTGATTTGATTCATTTCTCAGTTTTTATTACTCATTTACCAGCGGTAATTTGAACACTGGTTTTCTGATTGAGACAGAATACTGATGATGACTGTAATTACAGTTAAGAGCAATAAGTTAATATTTATTAAGCACTTACTTTGTGACAGGTCCTACATTAAGCACTTAACTGGAGCTGGGATTCAGAACCTTTGGATAGGGCTCTGCGGCCTGTAAGAAGTCACCTGACCTTTAGTATCTCTAAAAGGTAAGATATCTAGCCGGGCGCCGAGGTGCATGCCTGTAATCCCAGCATTCTAGAAGGCTGAAGCAGGAGGATTCTAAATTGGAGCATAGCCAGGAAAACAGCGACTTAGCGAGACCCTCCCTCAAAAAAGAAAATAATAAAAAGAGTACTGGAGACGTAACTCAGTAAGAAGTCGCTGGGTTTAATTTCCTAGTACTGGTGCCTCGGGGAATCTGTCCCTCCAGCAGTCGGTAGAGCACAAGACCTGTACAGTATGAATCCGCCTGTCTTCACGGTTCTGCTTCTACTCACCTCGAAGCCCTGAAGATCTGGACCTGTCCGCAAGACGTCTCACAAAAAGTAGCAGTGGGAGTAGCATCCATCAGCCAGAACCTAATAGGTTGCTGTCCGGGAAAAGCGACCCAGGAGCATTTTGGTGTCCCTTTAGTTCGCGCCAGCTCCCCAGAAGTTGCTCTTCACCCTTAGCCTTTCAAACAGGCCGCTCCAGAGAGACCAATCGCGGCTGTTCTTCTTCCCCGAGCCCTCATTCCGATGTCCAATCAACGCACGGGTACTATCAATTGGGTAGCCAATGGGTCCACCCCCGCTTTTGTTTTCCTTGGTGCTGAAGGGCAGAAAGAAACATGCGAGGCATGATACTCCATTTTGGTTGAGGGCAGAACTATAGGTCCTGATGCGCTTCCCTGGGGAAATCAGGACCGGTGTAGCACTTCCGCGCATCCCAGAACTCTGCCAAACATTTGAGAGGTTTTCCCATGGCGCGGCCCCCGGCGGATATAATCTGGGAGGCGAGGCCAGGGACCGGACCTGGCCTTGTACTTCTCCCCGGAGTGGGGGTGTCTGGCCGGCGCAGCGGGCTCTGTGTACCTAGAGTGATGCGCGAGACCTGCGGCCACTGGGTGAGCTCGATGAGACCCGGTGATCCAGCCAGAACCTCGAATACTTGTGGCAAAGGGGACTAATGTTCCTAAGGTGAGTGGCTGGAAAGGGGCCTGAACAGGCCGCCTCATCCTTCCCTCTTGTGTTCTCACCTGAGCTCAATGTTTCCCCTTCACAGGATTTTCAGGTCCCAAACCCCCTTTTATCTGACGCAAGGAGGCCAGAAGTCCCAGATCCAGAGGGTAAGATCCCATGAGCTGCTAGCAGAGGCGAGGGAAAGCCGTAGCAGCCTCATTCGAAAACCTACCCAGCCTTCGACTCGGAATCCTCACCCTACACTCTCCCCTCCCTATGCCCCATCGTGGTTCCGTGCACTTCACCAGCAAGATTCTTTTATTTTTGGTCAAGGGTAGGGAAAAAATATTTCATTTGATTTGGAGTGTAATAAAAGACATTTTATTAATGGAGGAATGCTTTTTATTTTTGTAGCAGTAGCCACGTTTATTATTATTTATTTTTTGTCTTCTTGAGAAAGGGTCTTGATATGCAGTTTAGGCTGGCCTTGAACTCATTTTGTAGCTCAGGCTGGTCTGGAACTTGGAACTATCCTCCTGCCTCAGCCTCCTGAGTGCTGGGATTACAGAAGTGCACCACCACGCTTATTAAGAAAGCTGGGGATTTAGCTCAGCGGCATAAGCACCTGCCTTGCAAGCATGCGGTTGTGAGTTCGATTCTTGGTACCGATAAAAATGAAAAAGACAAAAAAAAAAAAAAAAAAAAAAAAAAAGAAAGAAAGCAAAAATAAAGAATGGGGGAGAACTAGGTCTGCAGAGTGAGGTTGAGCAACTAAAAGAGTAAAAAACAAGATAAAAGAATACCCTAGAGAAAGTAAGGTGGAGAAAAGCCACAATAGCCAAGAATACTATGTTTGCATATTAATTGGGGGGTTTTTTTGAAGGGGGGCAGAGGTTTCAGACAGGACCTTGCTGTGTAGGTCAGGCTGCCCTTGAATTCACTGTGTAGTCTAGGTTCAGACTGGTAGCAATCCTCTTGCATCAGCCTCTCAAATGCTAGGATTACAAATACTGTGCCTTCCCCATTCTTGATATTAATTATGAGGTTCAAAGTGTTGTGGAAAATGCCTCAACAAATTTTAATATGAAGGTGTTAGGTCTGAGAGAAGGGAGAGGAGAGGAGAAGTCCGTGGGAGGAATGGAGCGGAGTGGACGGCCGTAAAAGTAGTGGTCAGCGGTGGCTTTATTCTGGGAATGCGGGGAGGGGGCCCCCGTCGCCGGCCGGCCCCGGGCGCAGCATTGCGCCCGGGGCGGGTGGTCTCTCTCTCTCTCTCTGGCAAACTCTCTCTGGCGAACTCCTCCGGCGAACTCTCTCCAGCGAACTCTCTCGGACACGTGGCGTGGGGGATCTAAATAGCTTAAGCTTAGGGCAGTGCCCCAAAGGCCATTAGGGATGCACAGATATCCCATTGGCGCACAGGTCCTTAAGGATGGGGATACAGAATCACAATCAAGTCCATAGGGGGCAGGGTGGGGGAGGAGTTTAGCTGCAGCCTTTTCTGGCTACAGTGTTTCATCTGGGCCGGCAACTCTTTCAGAAGGCAAATTATTTTTCCTTGGAGCCATCATCACATATTTGTTCCCAGGTCTTCTGTGAATCCTAATATGAGTTCAAGTGTAGGCTTCTTGGTGATGACCTCAGTGGCACCAAAGAAGTCATTTAATGCCTATTTTGCTAACATAATAAACAGGTTTGGGATTGTAAACTCCATGAGGTGTGGGACTATCACCGTTCAGAGTGTCTGATACAAACAACTGTTCAATGTTGTTGACTGCATCCATTACCTCTAGTATTCAAAGCCTTCCTTGTATTAACCAGCAGACAATGGAATTTCCTTTTTTTGTTTTGTTTTGAGAAAAGTCTCACTAAGTAGTGAAAGCTAGTCTTGCAATCATCATGTAGCCCAAGGTGGTCTCAAATTCCTAGCGATCCTCCAGCCTCAGCATCCCAGGTGCTGAGATTAGCATGTGTATCACCACAATCCCACTTGGAATTTACTTTTACTCCATCTTAACTTTCAGGGCAGAACATGGTTTAGAACATGCTGCTAAAGTTTAAGTTTATCTTTTTTCCTGTCTCAGGATCCAGGGATGGGAATGAGAAGAAAGAGTTGAAGAGTCCAAATCAAAAAGAGATGGAAAATGGAATGTCTGTCAAGGATGGTTGCCAGCCAGCATGCCAGCTGGCTCCAATCCTGTGAAAGGTACCTGCCCCAGAGCTCTGCTGGAATCTTAGGCAGGGCCCTATGGAGCCTTGGCTCAAGGACTCTACTCCCTGCAGATCACCATACTCTTGCCCAGACTGTGGCCACAATTTCACTTACCCTTCCCTCCTGGTCAGCCACCAGCAAGTGGCTGTGGGTGCAGACTTTCTGCTGTGACCAATATCAGGGACTTAGCCAAAATCCCCAACTGCCTATATGAGGGGTATGGTGAAAGGATGAAATAAGGACAAATTTAGTAATGCATGACGGGGGGGCAGTGCGATCAGTATGGGCAGCAATGAAGACACTCCAGGCTAGCCACTATTTACTGGATGTTCACAAGGATCTGAAGGATTATCGGATGACTCAGAGTAGCGCTGTTCCTATGCTGATAGAATCTTTCCCTGCAGTGTCCTAGCATCGAGGGACCATTCAGGACTCCATGCCCTAGCCCCTATATCTTTTTTCTTTTCTTTTCTTTTCTTTCTTTCTTTCTTTCTTTCTTTCTTTCTATCTATCTATCTATCTATCTATCTATCTATCTATCAGTACCAGGGATCAACCAACCTTGCACTTGCCAGGTAGGCTCTTGTGCCACTTTATATCCTTGGCCCCTAACCTCAGTTTATAATTTGTGGTCCCAACAGACCAGTACCAGACTCATCTCTCCTGGTGCAAGTACCAGTACCAGCTCCAGCATCCAGTTCATCCAGTTCATCCATGCAAAAGAAAAAGTCTACTTGTGCCCTCACAGTGGGTGCCACCGGAGCTCCCTAGCCATCCACTGGGAAGAAGCCTTACCCCTGTTCTGACTTTGGCCTCTACTTCATCTTCTTCTCAGTTACCAGTGAATTTGCTCTAACCACCAGCCCTGGCCCTGACCCTGCCCCAAATGTGGCAAAGGCTTCAGGCAGAAGTACCCTTGGGTGGCTCATTGGTGGGTCCATTGCTTTGGCAAGAGGCCAAAAGAACAGCAGGCTGCCTTGGGTTTCCAGAACCTCTCTTTATTTTGGGAGGGAAGGATCCCCCAATTCACTTCCAGTATTCTCAATATATTTAAAGAGTATGGGTTACAGGCTCACACAAGTTGATCAGTTTTCTCTGGAATGAAAGAGACAGGTTTACAGTTTGGAAGGGTATAGAAAGGAAGTGAATATTTAAAGGAAACAAAGTTCTTTATTAGGAAACAAACAGAGGTAAACATATGGGAAGAAGTAAACAGGAATCAAGAGCTTTGCTAGTTGCAAAGATGTAGAGTAAAAGTATATTTGTAAAATGTATAGGTACTAGAAAACAGAAATAAAACCATATTTCGTATTTAAAAAAGAGTAAAAGCAGGCTGGGGATTCAGCTCAGTGGCATAGGCGCCTGTCTGGCAAGTACAAGATCATGAGTTCAATCCCCAGTACCCATTAAAAAAAAAAAAAAAAAAAAGGAAAGTAAAAATATAAAGGAGCTAAGAGTAGTGGCACACTCATGTAATCCCATCAGTTGGGAGGCTGAGGCAGGATAGCTTTGCGTTTGAGTCTAGCCAGGTTACATAGTCAGTCCTAGGCCAGCCTGAACTACATATCAAAACCATATCTCAAAAAAAAAAAAAAAAAAAAGATGGGGGGAGGAATTTGAAAAGATGCTTGAGAGCTAAACAAAGAGCTCCTGCTCACGAAGCCCTTTATTCTAAATCCTGAGTAAGATTTCATTGCAAGCTATCCACCTACCTGATTTATCTTTCTAGGATGGTCTCTTCCTCAGAGGGCTTTGCTTTCTAGTCTGTATCTCTCCGGCTCACTGAGAAGGGGTCAGAACCTATTAAAGACCCTGTACTCACTCTGGATCCCCCAGAAGAGAGGGCACATGAAGCTTAAGGAAGGAGATTTCTCAATGGAGAAAAATAAGGATTTAAGAGTTGATATCCTTAGTCATTTGGAACAAAGTTAAAGAGCACATAACTCAAGAGGCAAGATAATTTGAAACTTCAAGCAGATAAGCAAAAATGGGAATACAAGGGGCTGAGGGTTTAGCTCAATGGTGTAAGCGGCTGTCTGGTTAGCGTGAGGTCATGAGTTCAATACCTGGTTTAAAAAAAAAAGAATGGAAATACAATAAAGAGCTGGGTGTAGTAATATATACCTGTAACTCCAGCAGTGAGAAGGCTGAGGCAGAAAGATCACAATTTCACATCAGTTTAACCTGGGTCTACTTAGGCAATTGAGTAACTAGTGTAACCCCCATTTCAAAATAAAAAATAAAAGGGGCTGGGGATTTAGCTTAGCGGCATAAGCACCTGCCTTGCAAGCAGATGGTCATGAGTTCAATCCCCGGTACTGATAAAAAGATAAAAAAATAAAAATAAAATAAAAAGGACTGTGAATGTATCTCAGTGTGAAGGTCCTGTGTTCAATTCCCAGTGAAGAAAGGAGAAGAGAAAGAGAAGAAGAAGAAAAAAAAAAAGAATGGAGTATAATCAGCACATTGTATCAGTCAGTCGAATAGCTAACACCCAAAATTTAAAAGAGGAGAGGTTTATTAGGCTCCCAGTTTCACAGGAGTCAGTCCAAGGCAGAATCATAATGGCACATGGGCTTGGAATAGAAAAGTGGCTCAGTTTACACTGGCAGGGGAGCAGAACCAGAGAGGAAGGAAGGAAGGGTTGAGGGACCAGACACAGACCCCAAATTATGCCTCCATGACCTTTCCAGAAACATCCAGAAGTATAATTTACTAATCTCCTAGGTGACTCCTAAGCCAGTCAAGTTAACAATATAGCATACAAATCACACACTTGTAGGAAATACTTATGATGCTTTATTGCATTACTTATTTTGGGATTAGAGGTGAGGGAGAGGGGATAGAAACTAAAGCATCAAGTAGTGAGAATGATTCTCTCCTTGGCCAAGCTTTTCTCCACTAGGTCTCAACCTGGACCTCTAAGCACTAAGACAAAACACTTTACAGTTCTGACAGCTCAAGGCCACATCCTTAGGATGATCTCATCCCCAAAGTACCTACCCTAACTGAGAAAACTCAAGGCTGCCAGAAGAATTTACTGTTTGCAGCTAGGCATGGTGGCACATGCCTGTAATCCCAGCACTTGGAAGGCTGGGATTTTTGTAATTTTTCACTTCCCAGACTCTACTAACACTGTGTACCCTTTTACCCTATCTCTTTATTCTTGTTTAAAGTGCTCACTAGGAACTGGGGATTTAGCTCAGTGGCACAAGTGCCTGCCTTGCCCAGCAAGCACGAGGCCACAAGTTCAATCCCCAGCACCAAAAAGAAAAGAAAAAATAAATAAGTAAAGTGCTCATTAGTCTGGCATTGTGAGGCAGGAGGTCTAGACTACATAGTGAGTTCAAGGCCAGCCTCAACTATGTAATGAGTCTCTGTCTCAAAAGATAAAACAAGCTGCACACTTACTCAGGCATGGTGGATGCCTGTTATCCTAGTACTCAGGTGGCTGAGGCAGGACTGCTGTGAGTTCAAAGTGAGATTGGATTACATAAAGAGACAGTCTCTGGGGGCTGGGGATTTAGTTCAGTAGCATAAGCACCTGCCTTGCAAGCAGACAGTCATGCCGATCCCTGGTACCGATAAAAAAGGAAAAAGACAAAAAAAAGAGACAGTCTCTGAAAACCAATCAACATCCACAACTGTAACCCCACCACTTGGGAGGCTGAGGCAGGAGGATCACTGTGAGTTTGAGGCTATGCTTAATTACATAGCAAGACTGTCTCAACAAACAAACCAGCCATGAATGCTGCCACGTGTCTGTTATCCTAGCAGGTGGGAGGCTGAGGCAAGAGGATCATAAATTCAAGGTCTGCCTAGTCAGTTCAGGCTGACCTTGAACTCACTGTGTATCCCATGCTGACCTCAAACTCACAGCGATCTTTCTGTTTCAGCCTCCTGAGTGATGGTATTACAGCTATGCATGACAACTGTGTCATGCTTTACTTTTTAAAAAACATACACGTTAGTAAATTTGGCAAAAATTACACTGTAATTTAACATTTTCTCAGTCTAGCTCCTTCCTCACTAAGCTGGTGCAGCACCAATCTAATAGAATGGGAAAAGCGGAGCTAAGGATTCAAAGGGTCCTGTTGGCTCCTCAGCTATAAACATGTACATACTTGGTTTCTTCCTTGGCTTGCTGTACCTAGGGTTCACCAAGGTGGGAACGTCTTTCTGCAGTGGTTGGATACCAGATTGCAGATCCCGCTGCAGAGAAGCCTGTCACTTTCACAATCCTGGAAACCACTGCTGAGGTCTTCCAGGAATTTCCCTAGGACCAGGGGATTCCGGTCCTCTGCCCTTTTCAAATGCTCCGCCAGTCCAAGGCCAATCATGACGCAGCTTCTTCTCTTAGTTACAGCCAATCATTGATCGCTTTGTATCTAGGCCGAAGAGAGGCCAGTGAAACCGCCTGTGTCCATCTTTCTTGAAGGCAAAAACGTTTTTCGGGACTTCCCTGCCCGTCCTACTGTTCTCACTAAAGCCAAAGCTCCTGCGACGTCCATTATTTTTAAGGGCAAATGGGGCGTTAAGCCAGAGAAACCAGTAAGGCGCCATATTTGATATGCTCAAGAAAGACGCCTTTAAGTACAATCGGTAGCAACTGAAGCCGGGTTGGTGCCATATTTTCTAAAGGCATCTTCCGGGCCCTTTAACCGCGGTATCTCTGTCTAAGCGGCCATGAAGTGACTAAACACCTAGGAGTTTTAGTTGTCCGCCTTAGAACCCTCGAACCCTTAGCAGCCAGTCCCTGCTACTTTGGATTCCACACCTGGCAAAGTCTGGAGACCAGGCTGGGCGGGGCCGGGGCCTGGACGACCCTCCCTGTGGACGACTAGAGCTGACGCCGGAAGCGGGGAGGCGGTGGCTCCAGGGACGAGGCCAGGCGGCAGGCGTTAGGAGCAGAGTCCCCATGGCGCCACCCCCATCCCTGCTTCTGGGGCCACGACCCGGGGAGACCCAGCGTTGTTGCCGGAAGCCTGGGGTCGTGAGGTTCGCGGACGTGGCTGTGTACTTCTCCCCGGAGGAGTGGGGGTGTCTGCGGCCCGCGCAGAGGGCCCTATACCGGGACGTGATGTGCGAGACCTACGGCCTCCTGGGCGCGCTCGGTGAGGCCCCGGGCCAGTCCCTCACCTTCTTCACTGGGTTCACAGGGGAGATGGTGTAGAAGGACCGACTGCATTGTGAGCTCTAGTCCTGCACTGTTCCAACAGCACCAGCCATCACCAGTTCTCAGGATTTTAGCTCCCCCCCCCCCCCGGGAGACTTTCTATCCCACATCCTTTTCAGTCAGGCAGGAGCTCTGCAGACCCTGTCTGAGTTGAGCCTAAGTTCTGTGGAGGTGCCCTCACCTCGGCTGGGGGATCCACCTTCCCAGGACAGCCTCTCAGGCTAGCACTGTGATCCCTGTTCTCTCCCAGGATTCCCAGGGCCAAAACCAGCCCTCATCTCTTGGATGGAACAGGAGAGTGAGGCTTGGAGCTCCGCCGCCCAGGATCCTGAGGAGGGGGAAAGCCTGGTAGGAGCTCTGAGAGGTGAGGGATGGTCCCAGGACTCCTCTGACTTGGTTTTCCAGGGTTTCCTGTCTAGCAAAGTTTTCTTTCAGGTCCTACAATTAAAGCCCTAAAGCCAGGTGCAGTGGTACCCACAAGTAATCTCAGTACTGAGGAAAGCTGAGTAAGGAGTTAAAGTTCAAGTTCCAGCTGTGCAATTTAGAGAAACTGTCTCAAAATTTAAAACAAAAGAAGTAAAAAAAAGACTGAGGGCTGTAATGGTTTGTTCTCCATTAGCACCAAACACACACATGAAGAGCGGATCTGTACTGGACTTTGAAGTAGGAAAGAACGCAGCTCTAGTACTTAAAAATTTTTTAGATCTTGGGGCCATAGTCATGTTAAGACCACAGTGGGAGCCCAAATCCAAGACTTAGAGATTTCTAGGTCCCTCTTGCAAAAAACATCTGACCGCAGACTCAAGCAATCCTCCTGCCTCAACTTCTGAGAGTGCTGGGATTACAGAGGTGTATTGGTATTACACGCATATCCTACTGCCCCTGGCTACTTCCTTTCAAGAACAAGTAAAACAGCCTTTAGGTCTGCCTTTCAGTTCCTCAAGCAAGGCAAAGAGGTACAAGAGATATTATCCAGTAATTGACAACTTGACTCTTATTCCCTTACCATCTTCCAAGGGAGTGTTCTCGAGGAAATAGGTTTCCTCATCTGGAAAAGCCCTATTCGAAAATACATAAATAGGAAACCACACTATTAACTAAGGCTTACAGAGCATTTACTAAGTGCTTACCATAAATCTAATAATTCTTCCAACATCCATGTGAAGTCAAGAAATTATTTTTTCTCATCTGACATGAGAAAAGCGATTTGAATTGTTTATTTTCTGCCAAAGTGTGCATATTAATCACTGGGCAGTACTCTTATGGCAGTACCGTAAGTAAAGGACCCTATAATCTGAGATAGTCTATGGAAAAAATGTTTTTAACTCTTATTTCCCAGCAGACACCTCAACCAAGGAAGAGGAAATTGACGAGCCAGGAGGCAAGGGACCTGGAATGACTTCTGGGAAAGAGTGGCCTGAAGCTTTGATTGAACACAATCCTGACTCGTCTATCAGTAAGGCCTCAGCAAGATCACAGCCACCCACGAAAGTTGCCTGGGACCAGATGGCAGTAGCTCAGTCTCCTGTCCCTGGGCCCACCATAGATGCTCAGGCCAGCCAGCGGTGCCACGTGTGTACAGACTGTGGTCGCCGCTTCACCTACCCCTCACTGCTGCTCAACCACCGGCGCATGCACTCCAATGAGCGGCCCTTCCCATGCCCTGAGTGTGGCATGCGCTTCAAGAGGAAGTACGCCTTGGAAGGGCACCAGTGGATCCACCGCTCCTGCTCTGGGGGGCGGCGGGGCCGCAGACCTGGGATCCGAGCTGTGCCTCGGGCCCCAGTCCGAGGTGACTGGGACCCACCTGTGCTCTTCCGGCACTACCCCGACATCTTTGAAGAGTGCGGGTAAATGGCTTCTGCAGGCCAGAGTTGAGCCCAACATTGCCGCTAAGGATTGCCTGGCTCCTGAGGCAGGGACTTGAGAACTGAAACTCATCCCTTGTGTTTCTTTCAAGGATCCCTCAAGTTTCCAAACTTGTAAAAAAAAAAGTGCCTGTAACGATCAAACAGATTAAACTGGGAGTGGTGGGACACACCTGTGATCCCAGCACTGAAGCGGCTGAGTTAGGAGGATCACTGTGAGTTCGAGGCCAGCCTGAACTGCACAGTGAGACCCTGTTTCAAAAAAAAGATCAAATAGATCAAACTTGACAACCTTCTTCCCATTCCTTTGTTTAAAAAAAAAAAGGAGAGAATGAGATGCTGGACTTTCCTCACAGTGTTACCTCAATAGCAGGTGCAGGTGAGCCCTTTCCCTTATCTCAGGGAACATCCATTGGATCCTTATTTGCTTAGGAAGTACTGGTGAGCTGGGACTTAGGCCAGGGGAAAGGCCTCAGAGGCAGGACATGGTTAACTAGCTGCTTCCAGCCGGAAACCAGGCAACTAGTGGAGTGGTCACTGACCGTGTGGTGTACACATCTTGTCTGTGCAGTTTGATCAAAGGCATTGCTGAAAATCACATGACATGGCCCAGGGACTTAGCTTAGCAGGCCTGCCTTGCAAGTGCACAGTTGTGACTTTGATTCCCGGTACTAAAGTCCCGTGGCTTCCTGGCCTCAGTTCCCACATCTGTAAAACAAAGGAAGATTAATATCTACCTCAAAGGTTTGGTTTGAAATCTTAATGGGATAATACTATGTATGAGATAGTAAATGTGCAATAAACATTTGTTGAACGAGTGAATTGAATTATCAATATTTTGTATTTTTAGAGAGTACAAAGATAAATAGCTCAGTAGTAGAGTAAATGCTTAGCATCTTTAAGGCCCCGGGTTCACTCCTTATCACCAGAAGAAGAAAAGTAGAAGGAGGCAGGGCATGAGGACCAACAGTCATGTTTTGCAGATCAGTAAAGAGGCTCAGAGAGATAAATGTATAGTTTCACTCTTTGGCAGCAAGACTGGAAACTGAGGAACAGCCTAGAGATTTTCCCCCACTGTCTGTGAAGCTGGGACACAGGATACAGCCCACCCTGACTAGGGAAGCTTTGCAGAAACCTGGGAGCCCCAGCAAACCTGTATATCCAGGAACTTTGCATTCAGCCTTTCTTTGGATTGATTATCCTGAGCAGTAAGGGAATTCCAAGATGAGTAAAGCTGACATTGCTCATTCATTCATTAAATACCATCTAAGGCCTTGGTTTTGTGCTCCCAGAGCACATCTGACTCAGGCCCCACATCTAGGAAGAGAGTGGTCCATGACAGGAAGTCCAGAGGCAACACATAATGCAGCCTGGCTGCTGGTGATTTTCCAGGGAACACTTCTAGAGGAGGAGATGGCTGTTCTTCCCATGAGTACCAGCTGGTTGGGGGCAGGTTTTCAAGCAGGAACAGGAAGGGAGGCTGGTTTCACAGAAAGGATGAAAGGAACAGTGAAATAAGGTGAAGAACATGGGCTTCAGTCAGACCATCTGGGTTCAGATCCTAATTCACTTGCTCTGTGCTGTGCAATCTTGGGCACCTCACTACTTGCTCAAGTCAACTTTATGTTCCTCAGTTTCCTTATTTGTAGAACTGGGATAATAGCAAGTATCTCAAGATTGGTGTAAATGATATAGGGGAAAGGTTCCCAATCTACTAGATGTCCAGTATGAGTTTGTGTTCTCAAAAAAAAAAAAAAAAAAAAAAAAAAAAAAAAAAAAAAGAATTTTAGGAACAATGGTGGTTAAGTGCAATATATATATTTTTTTTTTCTTTTTTTTTTTTTTGAAAAATGTTTTAGAATATTGAAATAAAGCTTCTATCCAGAAGGGGTCCTGAGTGAGTTGCCAAAGAGTCTGTCTTTTCTAAAGACATTTATAGAGCAAAATCACAAGGTGAGAGGGGTCCAAGGTGGGGAAAAGTGGGAACTCAGAAGGTAGGCATAAGGTGGGGGGCAGAATTATGATCAACAAATGAGACTATGAGTATAATTGCTCAGGTAAAATTGATTAAATCAGGACCCAATAAGGAAGTGAGTCATGTAGCAAGTGGGAGAATGGGGCCTTTGCCTGTAGAGGGCTGGATTAGTGGCTTCTTCTAGGTGATCAAGGTGATGTCTATTTAGAATATCAATCTCTGAGGTTTATCCTTAGGGCCTGGGTGTCTTTTGTCTTGAGATCTAGTCTGAAGTGAGAGGTTTGTTCTCCCCGTAGTTGCAAGGTATCTGGCCTTCTGCACTGGCTCCTTCCAGGGCCCAGTCCTGTCTGACTGCCTATAATTTACCTCAGCTGTCTATAACATAAGAATTAAATGAAACGAGGAACAGACAAATTTAGTAACGCATGACTGCGAGGGCTGGGAGGTCAATGCCTCACAATGGGCAGAGAAAATGATACAGTGATATGACACTATTTATTAGGTATATGCAATAATCAGAGGGATTATCAGATGACTCAGAAGGATCTTATGTTGATGAGGATGGTGGGGAGTGATGACAGTGAAGGAGTTTCTCCTTTCCCCAAGGTGAAACCTTATTTTTATTATTACTGGGTTCTCAAGGAACCAGGATATCTTCAGGTTATGCAATCTTGCCCTGGGATGTCACAGCATCACAGGACCATTGAGGTTTCAACTGTGACCCCGAGGCACATGTAATTATGTTTCAAATACCATAGCCAGCTTGCCTGGCAAGACTGTAGGCCTCAGAAAAGCCCTAATCACAATTTAATTATGAAATGATTTTTCCCCTGCAATTATATAGAATGATCCTTGACAATGAATTACCTGGAGCTATTCTTGGCTTCACATTAGTGTTTGACAAATATTGGTTATTTTAAAATTAAATTAAATTACATTTTTTAATTTTAGTCTTTTTGTTTTGTCTTTTTCTTTTTTATCAGTACCGGGGATTGAACTCACGATCACCTGCTTGCAAGGCAGGTGCTTATGCCACTGAGCTAAATCTCCAGCCACTAATTTTTGTCTTTTTGAGACTGAGTTTGACTATGCAGTTCAGGCTGTCCTTGAACTCACTTTGTAGCCCAGGCTGGCCTTGAACTACAGTGATCCTCCTGCTTTAGCCTCCTGAGTGTTAGGATTACAGATGTGAGTCACCAATCCAATATTGGTTATTGTTACTGTAATACAACACAAAATAGTATGCAAGAGAACCTAGAAGAGACTGGACAAGTCTTCTGACTCAAGGAATGTTTCCTAGATAAGATGGTTTAAACTGGCCCTGGGGGGAAAAAAAATCCTTAAAGAATGAGTAAAATCAATAGGACTTTTCTGGGAAAGCATATATGGAGAATGGTGAGCAGTTTCACTTGACTATAACACAAAGCACTAGACAGAGCTGGGTATGGTGGCACATGCCTAGAATCTCAGCATGTTGGTGCTATGACCCAATGCAGCTCCTGAGGTTCTTGGGGTTAAGGACCAGAAAGAGCATGAGAAAAATAAAGAAAAGACAAAGCTGGGGTCAGGTGGAGCCCTTATCCTCCTGATGGGTGGAAAGGAACTGCTCAACCACGTAGCACCTTTAATTATAAATGGGGAAAGATGATGTCAATTTCAGTCCTTCTGCCTAGCAATCCATTGCTCCACAGGCCTGGGCTCTTTGCCTTCTTGGTACTGGAACAACTTATTTTGGTCTCTCTTTTTTTTCTGAGCTGGCCTTGCTTTAGCCCCACACATGTGATCAATCTCCAGCTTCAACAGCTCCCAACATATCCATCTCTTTTGTTTTGTTATTGCACAGGATGGATGGTCAGTTGAAGCTGGAGGAGCTGTGTTGGAGAGCTCTGTAGGTCTTTTTTTAGTGCAGTCCAAAGATTTTAAGTCCCTGCATTCCACAACTGAAACCCTATGCAGGCCATCAATCTGTGACAGTAGTCAGCTACCAGTGTAGCTGGCAATTGCCAAAAGGCATTAGTGATTTGAGTTTCTTTTATAACATATTACTTTAGCATTGTTTTATATACCTCTAGTAGTTGTACTTTTTCTGCAGGATGCTCAAGACCAAGTTAAGGTGAGACCTGTTTTAAATACAATCAATTTTTGTTATTTGTCAAGGTCAGTTAAGTTTCCTCAGGAATATCTTGAGACCAACTATAGCACTTCTTAGTTCTGTCAGTGTCAGTTGTTGGGATGAGTCATGGCCATTGCTTGACCAAGTTCAAGCACACACAGCACACACAAATTTAACTTTTTCTGGAAAAACATAACCATACCCTCGACCCCACATTAGCACTGGATTGGGTGCTTTTATTGTCCAGTATGAAGATCATCCCAACGGACTCTTTTTAGCCTTTATTTGATTGCATTATCTTTCTGCTGTGGAGGATACATCTTTATTAGAATTTAAATATTTTAAATGGTATATACTACCAAGTGAAATCTATTATGAGGTGAACGCTCCCCTTTTTGAAATTTAAATTGTGAGTGGTTTAACTACTTTTAGACCTAAAGATTATTATAAAGAACTTTTGTGGTAAGATATAAAGAAAGTAGAAACTGCATTTTATATTTAGGTACCTTGGGCTCTCCTGTGACATGCAGGTGGTGCTCCTGCTCTGACTAGAGGCCCCACTGTGTTGGGGATTTAAGCACTGGTGCAGTGTAAACTTTTGATTTATAAGGCGTGTGCACAGGGGCTGGGGATTTAGCTCAGCAGCATAAGCTCCTGCCTTGCAAGCAGGCAGTCGTGAGTTCGATCCCCAGTACTGATAAAAAGGAAAAAGACAAAAAAAAAAAAAAAAAAAAAGCGTGTGCACAGATGATAGGAAAAACTGGGGTAGCTTAGCCAGGCCAGAGCCCTGTCCCACCTCTCTAATAAGTATCAGAAGATCCAAAAGATCCAAATAACCCTAACCCTAACCCTTTTCTTATTTATAGATTTTCCAGTTTTGTCAAGGAAAGACTAACCAATTGAGCAATACAATAATTGAGAGAGATTTGAACTGTGTTTTGAGTTAAGTTGAATAATAACCCTGATTTCCCCTGGTTTCTTTACCTTCCTTGTCTTGGCCAAACTCCAGGCTCAGTGGAGGTTTTGGTGCCCTCCCCTGCCTTGGAGCCTGTGAGAAGTAGTGAGAGGAGCCGAAAGCAGTAGTTTTATAAATAACCCTTTAAAATCTGTAGAGGGCCAGCTGATTTCTGTTGGTTTGTTTTTGCCCTAGTCTTTTTTTTTTTTTTACTTTTTATCAGTACCGGGGATCGAACTCATGACCACTTGCTTGCAAGGCAGGTGCTTATGCCACTGAACTAAATCCCCATCCCCTTTCTCTAGTCTTTATCTAAGCTGTTTTTCAGTTTCCTCCCGAGTATGTAAATTTACAATTTCTTCTTCTGGAGACAAACCCAAGAAATTTATCAAGCTGCATAGTGTCAGTCTATTGACAACTAAAATTGATTTAAGAAAGCAGAAGGGACCTAAATAAACGTAGAGTTACATTAATCATGAATTTTAAACAAGTACACGATTTTGAAAACAAGTAAATGATTTTGAAAAAACAATGGAGTTTGAGAATTTACTTACCAGATATCAAGACCCACTACAAAGCCTTAGTGAGCAGTGATATGCTGGGGCCAGCCTGTGATCAGCTAGTGAAAGTCAAATGTTGAATTTTTATAAGTTTTAAAGTTAGTTGTCGTATTGGTTATATGAAATTGTCTTATGTAACAGTATTTTGTAAACAGGAATCAGCAAACCACAAATCAGGACTATATTACCCCCCAACCATTAGGTGCCTGCCGGGC